TTTTGAGAGAGCATGGGTAGGGAGGGGCAGAGAGAGAGGGAGAGAGAGAATCCCAAGCAGGCTCTGCACTGTCAGCGTGGAACCCGACGTGGGGCTCCGTCCCACAAACCGTGAGACCACGACCTGAGCCAAAACCAAAAGTCAGACGCTTAGCCGCCTGAGCCACCCAGGCGCCCCAAGCCAGACATTTTAATTCTCCGAAGAAGCAAGTCTACTATGTGTGGTAGAATTCATCTTCCGTGAAAGTCTAAGTCAAAGGCAAAAATCAGCTGCCGCGCTGTTTGGGACCCGTGTTGTCTGGGCACGCTGCACCCCTCCCAGTGTGCCCAGCACACAGCCCGTTTCTCCCCCAGTGTTGGAACGGAGCTGTCCCCCTGGGTAAGCGTCGAACAAAATTATTGGCTTATGTGTGGATGTGGTATCATAAAGAAAATTGAGTTCCGTTATTGGTGTTTTATGGGCGTGTTTGCACAAATCAAACACGTATGGCATGACTTACCCATAGGGCGCATGCCTGCAAATATCAAGTGACAGGGGGTTACATCCTGCTGGCTGCAGCCTGTGCCTCTAGGGGCCCCCAGGGTGTCTGGCGGTCCACTGGTTTACTTTTTCTCTTGGAAGGTAAATTGTGGGGAAATCTCCGTGTCTTCCTCTCCATTTGGCTTCTCCTTCACTCTGGCACCTCTCTGTTCTCTTTCCCATTTCTGAGAATAGACTAAGACAATACCATAGACATACATACTGATAGGTTAATAGACTATTAGACTAATAGAATAAGACATGTAATGGAATACATATTATATGTATGTACATATGTATAATATATGTATTGTATGTATGCATATATGTAATATATATACTACATAATGAATAGACCCTAGACATACAGGAGCCTGGGTGACTCTTTGGAAGGCGCCTAGTGGGGCCTCTTCATTTTCTCTGTGAGGGGGGTGCTCATGGGGAGGGGGGCAGTTAGTCATCCTTGGAACTGGCCAGCTCTGGGAAGGACAGCCCCTCGGGGTCTGCAAGGCCCCAAGATGCCAAAGCCTCGTAAGACACAGGGTATAAGAAACACGATTCACACGATTGCCCACAGAGCTGAGATGGCAGGGAAGGAGTGACGGAGGTGATGGATGAGGGGTAAAGAGCAAATTCTTTAGCAACAGTAACCCGAGAAAGATAAAGCAATAGCTCAGGGGACTTTTTAGAAGTCTTGCACGTGGGTCAGAGGGCAAAGAGGATTCTTTTTATGGGCTTTCCAGAGACCGTCTCCACCTGGGTTGGGAGGGACACGGGAGAGCCCTGTGAGACGTCAACCCTCTTCTGAGCCTGCAGCAAAAGCAGGGGCCCCTGAGGAGGAGGGGTCCAGTCTCAGGTCTGCGACTACCCAGCAGGACCCTCACGTCTCCAGGAAGGGGGGGCACAGAAAGTCCAAGTTCACACAGCTAGCAAACGGCACAGCCAGCATCTGAGCCCCTCAGAATCCTCATCCGGCAAATACTGGGAGCTGGACGAGGTGAGCCCTAAGCTTCGTTCACCCGAGAAGTCCTCTGAGTGTCTGATACAGTGCTCCTTGGTCTTAACCACTCCTTCCTCGAGAGAATCACTGTCCAGTAGAATCTTCGGGAATGAGGGAAATGTTTACGTCTTGCTGTCCAGTATGGCGGCCACTGGGTACAAGACGTGAGGCGAGCACAACCGAGAAAATGAACTTGCCGTTTTATTGAATTTAAACAACCACACGCGGCCAGAAACTATTATACCAGCCAGCACAGCTCTATCAGAACCTTGAAAACTGCATAAATGAATAGTCCTCTCTCCACCCAGCAACCAGGAAAACGTGTGGGCCTTCTAGAAGTTTCCAGAAGTTTCATTAAAGACAGCTTTAGCCCTCCCCCAAACCCGCAACTTAGGGAACCCACAAGGAAAAGCCATTACACAGCCATGATACTGCTCCTAATCCCTCACCCAGCCCCAGTATAGAATTTTCCCAGTCCCCGTTTGGTGCCTGACCCAAGAGCACCCCCACTGGGGGGCTTGTTCCTATGGCTCCTCTCCTCCCACCCAGCTTTGGTGGTCCCCCTTCTTTCCCAGAGCTCATGCTGCCCTCTCTTTCTCTGTCCCTCTAAAGGCACAGCCTTCAGAGCCTACATCCCTGTCCTTGAGTAGAGAAGGGCATCTCGAGTTCTCCAATGGGAAGTCCAAGGGGAACCCACACCCATTCTGCTCTCCCTTGGAGCCTAGCTACAGACTCAAGGCTAAAGATCAGTATGTCTTTTATCCCATAGTAATGGAGCGCTCGAGTGTCCCTAGGAGGTTGGGACTATTTCTTCTGTGACGCTGTAGGTAGGCTCCAGCCATTCCCCACCCCTCCATGTTAGAGCTGGCACTGACTCTTTCCACTCAAGTCTGGGTGTGCTGGCATGTCTCACGGCAGCCAAACCATCAAAGACGATGGGAAAGTTGCTGACACCCCCCCCCCACCCTGGGGCTTTCTCTCCCCAGGAGTCATGGACCACTACTTGGTCATGCATCAACTGCGCTGTAACGGGGTCCTTGAGGGCATCCGGATTTGCAGGAAAGGATTCCCCAGCCGGATCCTCTATGCTGACTTTAAACAGCGGTAGGTCACGTGACTTTGCCTCTGTCTCCTTTTGAGGGCACTGTGTGCATTTCCCGAAGGGGCCCCTCCAGCTGGGTGTTGGGTGAGCTCACAGCCTCCCAGGGTCTCTGTGAGCTGGAGGATGATCTAAGCTCAAAGCAAGTGCAGGGCCAGCCCCAAGTGGTCGCAAGGTCCAAGCCCCAACCCTCCAGACCAGGGCTTCTCAACTTCTGCCCTGTTGGCATCCGGGGCTAGATAATCCTCCACTGTTGGGGCTGCTCTGTGTGTTGTAGGATTTTAGCGGCATCCCTGGTCTCTACCTACAATGTTGGTAGCAAAGCACATCCCACCCAAACTGGGACGATCAAAAACGTCTCCAGACATTCCCACATGTCCCCTGGGCACGGGTGGGGGCGTAGAGGGGGAATAAATCATCCCCATTTGAGCCCCACTGCTCCCGACCAGCACTCTCCTCCCAGCTGCCATCTGGGCCCACAAGTCAAGTCCAGGCCTTGTCTGGAACAGAGGAAGGGAGGGGACGCTCCAGAGGTAGGAAGCCCAGAGGTCTGCAAGTCGTAGTTGATGTCAAGGTTCTTTTATGTCAAATGAGAACCATTTCCTTTGAAAGCAAACAGCCCGGGGTCTTTCTCGGGGATTGAATCCATTCAGGAAATGTTGTCCCTCAACTGAAACTGCCATCCAGCCTATCATTGCCATGCTGTTGAGAGGGCCCAAGCAGGGAGTAGGCCTGACCTAGCTTCCAGTGCCGGACTTGAGTGCCAGTGAGGGGTCTTTGCATGTGCTTCCTGTGTGCTTGGCCAACTGCTGGCAGAGTCTTGTCGCCTAAACCGCGGCGGCTCTCCGGAGTCTGTCTTTCCTCGGGGGAGGGCATGGCCTTCCTGACCCGGGTCGTCACAGAATGACTGGCCCGGGCCCTGGCAGGGCTCTCAGGCCCCCGGGCCTGGACAGAGAGCAAAGTGCATGAAGGGAACACCTTCCCAGCTCTGTGCAGCCCGAGGCCCTTCTCCCCGGAGACAACCCCCCCCCCCACACCCAGCTGCCGGGAGGTATCTCATCAGCCTGTCTCCCCCCTCAGCTACCGGATCCTCAATGCCAACGCCATCCCCGAAGGGCAGTTTATTGACAGCAAAAATGCTTCTGAGAAGCTGCTGAGCTCCATCGACGTGGACCGTGAGCAGTATAGGTTTGGCCACACCAAGGTGAGAGCATGTGAAGCGGGGACACTCCCAACCCGTGTAACCCACAGCCCCAGGCTGCTCGTCGGCCGGTCGGGGGAAAGGGCTCTGACCCGTCCGGTCAGCCTGGAAACCCCTTTGCACAGGAGCCCAAGCAGAGGCAGCCTGGGTCCAGGTGTCGAGAGTTCTGTGTCTGTGTTTGTTTCTAAGTGGCCAGCAGCTTAATTTGGAAGCAGGGCCTCCTCAGCAATGGAGGAAAGCAATAGAAAGTTCTAGTGTCCTGAGAGAGCAGAGAAAAGCACTTTTTTTTTTAATGTTTATTTATTTTTGAGACACAGGGAGAAAGACTGAGTGCGAGCAGGGGAGGGGCAGAAAGAGAGAGAGGGAGACACGGAATCCGAAGCAGGCTCCAGGCTCCGAGCTGTCAGCACAGAGCCCGACACGGGACTCAAACACATGAACCGTGAGATCAGGACCTGAGCCAAGGTCGGACACTCAACCACCTGAGCCACCCAGGTGTCCCAAGAAAAGGCACTCTTAAATGGGACAAAAGAGTCAAGGAGAGAGGAAAACACAACAAGGATTCCAGGAACAGTGACAGTTTGGAGGGAATGATTACAACAGATAAAAATGGCTGCCATCTAGTGATCCCATGTGGAGCCAGTCCTGTGACCCCCCCCCTCTGTGCACCTTGCACTGAGTCCTCCCAGTATCCCGAAGGTGATAAGGATGGTTCTGACCTCGTGGGGTTACAGGTCAGGCCAGGGGGCAAAACATTTGCTCGAGGTCCCAGGGACACTGAGGCACCAAGGCCAGCTTCAAATACTGGCCTGACTCCAGAACTCTCCCTCCTGGAAAGGGCCAAGCCGGGTCTGCTGGCCTCCAAGGGTTCCCTGCTTCCTTGGAACACTGGTGTGGGCCGTGGGTGCATGGGCTCAGGGTGGGACTAGTCTCAGATGGGCAGACAGACAGGAGAATGGGGAGGCAGAACTGTCTGTGGATTTCTCCTAATCGGGGCACAGTTGAGTTCTGAGGTTACTTCTGGACTCATCCTCGCCTCCGATATGTAAGGTCTGTCCCAGTCGGTCCTTGTGCGTTGGTGGGGCCTGGAATGTACTTTGGAACAGGGCACGGGAGGGTCCACTGTGGAGCCCAGATGGCTGCCAGTCCCAAGCCAGGGTGCTAAAGGCCGGGGGCTGGTTTGGACACAAACAGGCTCCTGGGAGGGCCCAGGTTCCACACGTGCTGAGAACAAAGCCAGGCTCATGTCTCCCCTGGTTCAGGTGTTTTTCAAAGCCGGACTTCTTGGACTCCTGGAGGAGATGAGGGACGAGAAGCTGGCGACCCTAATGACACACACGCAGGCCATCTGCCGGGGGTACCTGATGCGGGTGGAGTTCAAGAAGATGATGGAGAGGAGGTGATGTGGACCCTCGTCCCAGCTCACACCGCCCTCCCTACCTAGCAGCTGACTGCTGCTTCCTGGTTTTAGTCTTGGGGCACTAACGTCCTCGTTCATTCACTTAACCGACACCTGCTGAGCGGCCATTCTGTGCTGGGGACCCCGCGTGGTGCTGGGGATGCAGAAAGGAGTCCTTCCCTCCAGGAGCTCAGAGACGGGCCGGAAGCAGACACTTGCATGTTTGACTGTAACGCCCGTGACAAGTGCAATGTCAGAGTCACGTTCAGGGCAATGGGGGGGTGGTGAGGAAAGCCCTCCACATGGCTGGGAGTTGGGGCTGGCTGAAGGGGTCAGCAAGAAGAAAGAACTTTCCGAAGCAAGCTTTGCATGGCCTGAGAAAGGAGGGCTTGGAGGCCACCATGGTGGGAGCGAGGAGGGACTGGCACTCAACGTGGGCTCCCCTGCACCGAGTTAATGAGGCAAGGCTGGGTCATCGGGCTGGGGAGCCATGGAAGGCACAGATGGCCCGTGTCCTCCCTCAGCTCCCAACCTCAACAAGTGCTGTTTCCTCTGAACCCTCAGAGAGCACTGCAGGGTTCACAGGAGCTGCACGGCTCAGCCGTCCCTGCTTCCCACGTAGCGGGGAAGGGTGAAGGGTCTGGGCCCACGGGGCAGGTGGGGGCGGACACAAGTCCTTGCTGTGGTTCAGTAACCCCAGTCCTACTGGGCGAACAGGGAGTCCATCTTCTGCATCCAGTACAACATCCGCGCCTTCATGAACGTCAAGCACTGGCCCTGGATGAACCTGTTCTTCAAGATCAAGCCCCTCCTCAAGAGCGCGGAGGCCGAGAAGGAGATGGCCACCATGAAGGAGGACTTCGAGAGGGCCAAGGAAGAGCTGGCCAGATCCGAGGCTCGCCGGAAGGAGCTGGAGGAGAAGATGGTGACCCTGCTGCAGGAAAAAAATGACCTCCAGCTACAGGTCCAGTCTGTAAGTACCTTCCTGAGGAGGCTAGAAAAGGAGGAACAAAAGGGAGGCCCAGCAGGTGCATCGATTCAAGGGGCAGTGGTGCCACCTAGTGGGACTATAGAGTATTGCAGCCAGTTGGAGGCAGGGATGAGGGGGCTTGGTTTAGCCCAAGCACAGGTGCTTGCTGGGGGCAAGTCTACAAAGTGAATTTCTGCTCGCCCTCATTTGTCTCTGTCTTCCAGAAGGGAATGTCATCATAATTAAAAACTGTCCGGAATGCACCGGAAAATCATATAACTAAAAATAAAAGTAAATCACTAAAATAATTCAAAGGAGAAAGAGTAATCTTATATATATGGTTTTGATAATAGGATTCTACTAAAAAAAAGCTTTGAAGGTATGCATTTTTTAAGATTATTTATCTTGAGAGAGAGAGAGAGTGTGTGTGTGTGTGTGCGCACGCAAGCGGGAGAAGGGCAGAGAGAAAGGGAGAGAGAATCCCAAGCAGGCTCCGCACTGTCAGCACAGAGCCCAACATGGGGTTAAATCTCATGAACAGTGAAATCATGACCTGAGCCGAAGTTGGACGCTCAACCAACTGAACCACCCAGCCGCCCTGATAAGCATTTTTATTATTAAAAAAAATTTTTTTTCTAATGTTTATTTTTGAGAAAGAGAGAGGCAGAGCCTGACCGGGGGAGGGGCAGAGGGAGAGAGGGAGACACAGAATCCGAAGCGGGCTCCGGGCTCCGAGCTGTCGGCCCAGAGCAGGACGCAGGGCTCAAACTCACGAACAGTGAGATCATGACCTGAATCGAAGTCAACGTTTAATGGACTGAACCACCCAGGTGCCTCGAAGCATTTTTAAAATCAAGGAAATAGGGGAAACGAAACCATACCTAGTATGTGACATCCTGGTACAATAATTGTATCAATACACAAGATGCTTATCACTTGCCCTTTTGAATGAACTCCTAAATGCCTGGCACTTGCAAAGCATTTTCTCCTCCGTTGTTCACTTTCCAGTCAGTACAGGTGGTTATTAAGAGCATTTTCCCAAGCCGAGTGGGCAAGAGGACTAGTTTTGGAACCAGAGAGCTAGATTTATATCCCTGGCCCTCCACTTGATGGCTGTGCTGCCTCGGGCAAGTTTCTTAGCCTCTTCGTATCTCGGTTTCCTCATCTGTAAAATGGCCACAGTAATAGCACCCATGTCCTAGGGTTATGGGGAGGATCAGATGAGTCCCTGCATGCAAAATGCCTAGCACATAGTACATGTTCAGTTAACACACACACTTATTCTTATCCATAACCTTGGGATGTGTGTCCAGTTTTTACAACTCTTACATAAAAAGAAGTAGCCCAATTAAGTTTAAGAATATAATTAGCTAATCTTTGTCTGTCCAAGAGACTCATTACAGAGCCTTCTGGGATACATTTATATGTTATCACTTCGTTCCTGTCTGTTTTGAATTTTCTGCCCTGTGGCTCCAGGAGGCAGGGCTAACTAGGCATCGACAGGACTTTTCCATTGAAAGTGAAAAGGTAGTAATGTTTCAAAAATGCCACTTAGCTGGTGGTAGCATCGAGTAGATGAGTCGTTTTTCACCCCCTAGTAGATGGAAGCATGAAATGGCCAGTGCCCAAATCTGACAAATTTGCAGAAGCTTTATGAACTTCATGCACTCCTTTGTTTGCAATTATTTTAGGTGTTTTCTAGTAAGTGGATCTCCCTGGTGGTTTTTTTAAAAAGGTGTACACAAGGGCGCCTGAGTGGCTCAGTTGGTTTAAGCATCTGACTTCGGCTCAGGTCATGATCTCGCAGCCCGTGAGTTTGAGCCCCGCGTCGGGCTCTGTGCCGACAGCTCAGAGCCTGGAGCCTGCTTTACATTCTGTGTCTCCCTCTCTCTCTGCCCCTCCCCTGCTCACGCTCTGTCTCTCTCTCTCAAAGATAAATAAAGATTTTTAAAAAGGTGTATACAAATGGTATATAAGTGGTGTGTGTGCATCTGTGCCAATGAGTGTGTGTGCACGTGTGCGTGTGTGCACATGAATGTGTGTGTGTGTGTTTGCATTTAGACATGTGAGTGTGTGTGTGTGTGTGTGTGTGCACGCGAGTGTGTGTGCAGGTGCATGTTTGTGTGTGTGACCTACTCCTTGGCTTAGGTCTAGATAGTGGGCTTTTGGAGGGCAGAGCCCTTCCCTTGTAAGGTTTGCCGAGAGTCTGACCAAAACACAATGACCTGGCTCTTTCAGGAAACAGAAAATCTGATGGACGCCGAGGAGCGGTGTGAGGGACTCATCAAAAGCAAGATTCAACTGGAAGCCAAAGTCAAGGAGCTGAGCGAGAGGCTGGAAGAGGAAGAAGAGATGAATTCGGAGCTGGTGGCCAAGAAGAGAAACCTGGAAGATAAATGCTCATCCCTCAAGAGAGACATCGACGATCTGGAGCTGACCCTGACAAAAGTGGAAAAGGAGAAACATGCCACTGAGAACAAGGTGGGCAACCCCAGGGGTCCCCAGAGTGTCTGGAGCTCCCTCTCTGTGAGGAGGAGACATTGCCTGAGGTCAGGGGTAGGAACGGACGGACAGTTAGTGAGGTCCCACCCAGTCCTCTCCTCTGCCTCATTCTGGAGCCTGGAGACTCTGCTCAACCCTCCTCCTGCCTGGCTGGCTGCACCCCAAACTTCCAGCCCCAACCCATCCTGCACAAAGGAAGTGATCCTGGAGAAGAAGGATGGCGTCTTATTCATCATCACTTACATTTGTCCCAGGAAGAGCAAACCCAGGTGCCTCCAGGGGCCAGGCAGACGATGAGGCAGGCAGGTGGGGACAGGGGCAGAAAGCTGGATCACACCAAGCGCTCGCAGGGACGTGGGGCACAGGGACTCTTGTGTGTTACTGGCAGAGTATGGACTGATGCAGCTTTCAGGAAAGCATCTGGAAATACTTGGTCACATTAAGAATCCACATACCCTTTGAGCCAATGATTCTGCTCTTGAGTGTCTAGACCAGGGAATTCTCCCAGCAGCCCAAAAGGGGACACATTCAGTAGCATCGCTTGTGGTGGGGGAGAGCCAGAGGCAGTATCAGGGTCCACACTGGGGAGCGGACATTTGAGGAGTAGAAGATGCCCATCAGGGAGTTCTACAAAGCCAGCAGGAACACCAGGCTTGTACACACAGGGCACCAAGATGTATACGAAAGACCTAACGCTGAAAATAGGAAAATGAAAGGTACAATACGATACCATTCACGTGAACTAAAAATCACATGTACGCACAAGAATACACAGTTTACAGAAACAAGGGAAAAATGCAACACCTGATTCACATCGTAATGGTTGCCAATGAGATAGAGCAAGGGATAGGGTTGACCTGGTGTGAGACGACCCAGAGTCAGTGTTGGTTAGACAACCAGGAGTAGGGAAAAGGGACAATCAGGAGGGGTGGAGATTGTGGCAAACAGAAGGGCATTTGCCCTGTCCAAGACGGCAGCCATGACTTGGCTCTAGCCAACTGCCTCCCGGTGGGAATGGGAATCCATTGTCGCCAAAGCCTCTGATTTTCCATGAGAAGCCAGGAGTCCAGATCTTATGTGAAATTGCTTTTCCTTTTTCCACCCTGGTAACTTAACTCAAAAGTTGTAAACTGTTACATGGACTAAAGAAAACATGTCTTCGGCCAGATTCAGCCCACAAGTCAGGTGCTTAACAACCTCTGATCTGGAAGGGTGTCGTACGTGGAACAAAGTTTAATTTAAATGCCTTGCAACTTCAGGGACGCCTGGGTGGCTCAGTCGGGTTAAGCATCTGACATCGGCTCAGGTCATGATCTCACGGTTCGTGGGTTCGAGCCCTGCATCGGGCTCTGTGCTGATGTCTCAGAGCCCGGAGCCCGCTTCGGATTCTGTGTCTCCTTCTCTCTCTGCCCCTCCCCCATTCATGCTCTGTCTCTGTCTCAAAAATAAAGAAACATTAAAAAAATAAAATAATAAATAAATAAATAAATAAATGCCTTGCAACTTCACATTTGGTTCCCCGCCTTCTGCTTCTTGACAGCACAAGACTCCCATTCTGGGTGCTCTTGCATAGCACTGCATCTCTTTCCTTATGCTTCCTACCTTATTCTAACCCCCAAATTCTCATTGATATATTATGATAAATACAGATTGATCGGTTGTCCTTCAGAGGCACCCTGTCTGTATCTATCAATATGCTGCCCTGTGAGATCCCTAACCCTCTCTGAAGGAATGTTCCTAACGGGAGGATTTGAGGCTCTCTGTGCAGGCCAGTCAGGAAGATTAAGAATTCATAGACTGCCAGTTTCAGGATGATACACCCAACGACACACTAAGCACCTGCCAGGGAGGTAAAGAGGCAGTGGCAAAAAAAAAAAAAAAAA